GCTTGGAGCCCTGCACCCCGGGTGATGGGGCTGCAGCATCCGCCTCCTGCCCAGGCACCCTCCCAGCCCGCTGGGTGCCCACAGCCTGGCATCCCCCCCCCACACTCCGCGCCCATATGTGCTTGTTGTGGGGTGCCTGGCTGGCTGCGGGCAGAGCAGAATTGGTGCAGGAGCCCCTGGGTGGTGTTAGAGGTGAAGGGCATCTCCCCGGGGTGAGAACTCACCTCTTGTGCTGCTCCTGCTCTGTGTCTCCTCGCACCATGGTGCAGTTTGGGGGTCAGCAGTGGGATGGGTGCAAAGGCCATGAGGTGGGCACCCTCATCACAAGTATTACATCCCCAGCATCTGCACTTGAGCAAAGTGCCCCCTTCCCTTTCACCCTTTCACCCGTGAGGGTGCTGAGGCACTGGCACAGGGTGCCCAGAGAAGCTGTGGCTGCCCCCCCCCTGGCAGTGTTCAAGGCCCGGTTGGACACAGGGGTAGTGGAAGGTGTCCCTGCCCATGGCAAGGGGTTGGAACTGGATGGGCTTTAAGGTTCCTTCATCCCAAACCAGGCTGGGATTCCATGATTCCCTGAGAGGAATCTCCTCTCTGAGAGGAGAGTGAGAGCAGGGCGAAACTGCTGCCAGAGGGAAATAGAGACTACAGAGAGAAGTAGAGAGGAGAGAAAAAGGGAGACGAGGAAAGCAAGATGGGGAAAGGATGAGCTGGGTCATGCTGGGGAAGTGGGGTGACCTGGAGAAGGAAGGCTGGGAGGGGGGCAGACACATCCTCATTTCTCACTCTCCACCATCGCTGTGTTCAGGTGATCCGTGGCCAGGACCCAGGGAAAGGCACAGAGCAACGTGAACCCAAGAGCCAGGAGAGAGCTCAAGTGCAGAAGGCGCGAGGGCTGCTCTCTCCCAGGTCCTTGTTACCTCCAACCTTCCTGCCGAACACGACCCTCCTGGAGCTGGTGAGCAGCTCACAGCAGTTCTGGGATATCCTGGATCGTGTCTCCATGCGGGACCACGCTCCACAGCCCAGAGGACAGAGGGACTTGGGGCCAGGCTCGGGCAAGCTGAAAAAGCTTTTTGGCTGGGGCGATTTCTACTCCAACATCAAGACGGTGAAGCTGAACCTCTTGATCACCGGGAAGGTGGTTGATCACGGCAACGGCACAGTCAACGTCTTCTTCCAACACAACTCCACCGGGCAAGGGAACATCTCCGTCAGCCTCGTGCCCCCCACCAAGGCCGTGGAGTTTGACCTGGAGCAACAGATCTTCATCGAGGCCAAAGAATCCAAAGTGTTCAACTGCCGCGTGGAGTACGAGAAGGTGGATCGCGCCAAGAAGACCACGCTCTGCACTTACGACCCATCTAAGACCTGCTACCACGAGCACACCCAGAGTCACGTCTCCTGGGTCTGCTCGAAGCCCTTCAAAGTCATCTGCATCTACATCACTTTCTACAGCATAGACTACAGGCTGGTGGAGAAAGTGTGCCCCGACTACAACTACCACAGCGACGATCCCTACTATCCCTCGGGATGAGGCACTCGGATGCCCTGGTGACGAGCGGGTGCTGGGAGGGGAGGGAGGGACGGGGATGGGTTTGTAAGCAGGGGCAGGCGTGTGGAGCTCCCTAGAACTCAAAAACAAGGAAGGAAGAGGAGGATTTTCCTTTTTTCCCCCAAAAGCTCCAATGGCAAGAGGAGGAATTTTAGGCTATGGGGTACCGGCATCGCTAATCCTGGCCTGGATCCGTGGTCTTTAGAGACTGGGATGCAAAGGCAGGGTCTGACTTTAGGATACAGAAAATAGGACATAAAGCCACGATCTGCACTTGCGTTTCTCAGTGCAATAATGGATTTGCCTGGATCTAGGCCACGTGGTTCTAAAAGGTTGGGGAGCAGGCAAAGAGGGCTCCAGAAGCAGGTTTATGCAGCGTGGAGCCAGAGGAAGACCTCAGGCTGGGAGAAAGGCACCTGATGCCCTCCATGGCTGTAAGACGTCCATGACCAGCCACATCATCTCCCCACATCCAAGTTCTGCAGCGGCCGGAGCTGGAACTGAGCATCCCCACATTGGGCTGCAAAGGGCTTCCAGGATGGACACAGGGAGCCGGGGTGGGCAGGAGGGACCTTCCCCAGGCGCCAACCCACCACGCCTTACGCTGGGCACGGGGGCAGGGGGGGCTCCACAGTTGGAGGAAGCCTGGTGAGATGTGTCGGGTCTGCTGACACAACGTCTGATTCATGTGTTTCCCCTGACACGCTGTGATTCATGCGCTTCCCCTTCACCTCCTCCTGCTTCCCGGCACTGCCAGCTCCCACCTCGCGCAGCCACGTCGGGCTCCTGGGTGCAAACGTGTGCGCCCGGGTGTGCACGAGCCTCTCAGGTTCCGACTGTAGCGTTCAATGCACTTGGAAGGGGAAAAAACCCACCCCAACAACACCCCGACACTGTCCTTGAGAGAGAATAAAGTTGTCACGGTGGCACCAGGGCAGGTCAAGTGTTGTTACTGAGAGTGAGCTCCGGCTCCTCTTGGGGAGAAGGAAAAGCGACTGGGGAGGGGAAGGTGGGAATAAGGCACTACCATGAATGTGCCCAAATCCAGCTCTGGTCAGATGCATCTGAACTCACCCCTTCTAGGAACAGGGCACAGGGTCCAGCTTTGGGGTTTGCCAGGACTGTGCCTGGTTGCTATTGCTCGTGCATGGGCTCATTCTGCACCACCAATGGGTATTCCCAACCTCCTCCCTTTCCCCACACATCCAAATGTCAGGCTCCCATTCAGGTGGACACATTCCCTACTACAGAAAAGACCCACAAAAGCAGCTTCCCCCACTCCCAGCCCTTCTTTTTCCCCCCAAAACTGCCCATATCCACAGCTCCAAAAGTCCCCATATCCACAGCTCCAAAGCTCCCCATATCCACAGCTCCAAAAGGCCCCTTGCAGCCCAGCAGGGTTATGAGGCAGGTATTAGCAGAGCAGGCTTTGAGTTCCAGCTTTCACAAGTCAAATTCCTTCTCCACAGCTTGGAAAGGTTTGCTGGCTGCTGGCAAAGTTTCATTCTATGCACTTTTACATCTAGACAGAGGTTGGTTCCAAACTACATTGAGCAAAGAAAGCCTTTTAGTGCAATAATCAATGAACAGACTTATTTACTCCTGCAACAAAGTTTAAAGTGCTTTGAGAGCACGGGTTTAGAAAATAACAGGAGTAAGATTTGGTACTGGGAGGGGGGGGAACAACCAAGAGCTATCTCCCAAAAGCGTGTTCCCCAAGGATTCAGCTTGCTGTAAGGAAGGGACACAAAAAGCCACATTAAAGGCAGCACAGCCAGACCAAACAGAAGCAGCACACCCCAAAGTTGCTCATTCGGAGAGATTTCAGACAATTGCCGCTGGAAGAAACAGAGCAGGCAGCGGGAGCAGAGAACCAGGCTACAAAGGATGCTCCATTGTCAAAAGTGATGTGGCAGCGCAGTTACTAGGAGACCAGGACGGGCCATTATTGGGGCTTGGGAGAAGAGGATTCCTGCTAACAGAGGCACAACCAGCCCTCAGGAAAGGAGGATTTCACTGAGCTGGAGGCCAAACAGTGCAAGAGAAAAACATCTCCCCACCCTAAACCCACTCGCCCTTAACCCCCTACTCACCCCCTGCCACAGGGAGATACAAGGGAGAGTCCTTGCACCAACTCACCCGCTACAACTCCCCTGGGCAGAGGCTAAGTCAAGGTGTATGTGAAGGTGTTTGCTTCCAGCAGAGGATGATGTGCTCTGGGGGGTGTTGCTCAAGCTGTGTGCACAGCGGAGGCTGGTCACTGACTTGTTCCTGCTACTCGAGCAGAGGATTTAAATCCCTGCAGCTGCACTATTACACAAGGAACTGAGGTTTCCTTTCTTTGCCCATCAGTAGATGGACATTAAACAGATTCAGGGCTGGGGGAGCTAAAAATTTCTCCCAGTGAAGTTCCTTGAGTTGCAAACTCCGTGACAGATGAAGCAGTGTGTAATGACTGTGGAAAGCAGACTCCAAAACCCCTCTGTGACACCAGGGTTCAGCCAAGTGCCACAGGAGTATTCACAATTAGAGCCCACCTCCAGTTATAAAATGCAGCCCCTGATCATCTTTGGTAACTCAGTGCATGGCTGATCTCTTTGCCTCCAAAGCAGGAAAAGCCCTGATGGCACTTACCTCCTGCTGTCCTCTAAGACACTGTGGCTGTTCCCCATCTCCAGCAATCAGCTCTCTGGTGTTTGTTAATCCTGTTTTCCTCTTCCCCACAAAATCCTCCTGGTTTAGATGTCGTGAGCCTCCCAGCTTGGCCAACCCCTGCTCTGGCACATTTAGAACCTGCTTCCCAGAGCAGCCCTGCTTCACCCTCCCATCAAAATCCATCGGCAGCCCAGCGATAGGACAAGGGGTGATGGGTTCAAACTGAAACAGGGGAAGTTCAGGTTGGGTGTAAAGAAGATCTTCACCACTGCTCTGTCTCATCTTTGCTAATGAAAGAGTTTCTCCTCGTCACAGACCGTGTTTGTGGTGCCAACGTGGGCTGTGCTAAGGACAGACATCTCATTCCCCAAGCGGGCTGAGAATCTTAATTCCTGGGCATAAATCCTGATCATGCTATTGGCTTTTCTGATAAACTTAACCAAGTTATTCCAGGCCTTTGTCTCGTCTGCCTTATCTCTCTTTATAAAGATAATATTCATTTGCCTTCTGGGGATGGAGCGAGACTGCTCTCTGGAAACCCTCCCCTGGAAGGGGAGACAAGCAGCAATGATTATTCATGAAATCCCCAGCGTTATGACTTGTTATTACACGCGGAAGACTAAAGCTGCAAGTGGGCTGAATGCATCATGTATTTGAGCTAAGAATTATTACAGTTTTGCCAATTAGACCCAGAACCCAAATACAAGCACTTCCCCCCTCCTCCTGCCAGAGCTTAGCACCAGCTGCCTCTCCACAACCACCAGCACTTCCCCATCTTCCTGTGCTTTCAACAGCCTCCAGAAGCAGCAGGTCCCTGATTGTTTTCCCTCCACTGAATGGCAGAGTGCACTGCTCTCCCTGAAAGGAGCTGCCACCCGTCATGGCACATCACCACAACAACCACTCGCCCATCGGTGGCTTTTTCCTGCTGGAAGGGGTGGGTGAGAAAAGCAGCCTTTTGGCAACCCCCCCTCCCAACCCTCACCCACCTGAGAGCATCACACACTGCCCGGGTCGGGCTCCAGGGTTAAGCAACCAGGCTGCTCTGCTGTGGAACACGCTGGTGGCAGGATGGCTTCCAGCCAAGCGCCTGGAGGAATAGGGCAATCTGCTCCCTTAGGGAGCTCAGCTCGTACATGCTGTTCTGCAGAATAAGGCCTGAAGCTCCTGGTGGAAAGAAGGATTTGCTTTTGCCTGAGAGGTTTCCAGACCTACCAGAGCACCCATCTGCTACCCAAATGTCTTGTTTCCTAAAGGCTTGTGGCCAAAGAGTAGGAGGGAGACGTGATGCAGTAACCCCTTCTCTTCCAGTCCTTTAAGTTGGCTGCTCATGGCTTGGTTTGCCATTTGCCATGCTGGAGCATGTCTGGTACCATCTGGACCATGGTGGGGATTTCCTCTCATGTCTTCATTGAATCCCAGCCTGGTTTGGATTGGAAGGGACCTTAAAGCTCCTCCAGTTCCAATCCCCGGCCATGGACAGGGACACCTTCCATAAGACCAGGTTGCTCCAAGCCCCTGTGTCCAACCTGGTTTGTTAGATCGCAAACAAAGAGACAAGAAAAGCTGAGTACAAGAATAGTTATTTTAAGATAGAAATATTCCAATTTCAGTGCAGTACAGATAATTCAGACTTATTTGGGTTGCACAAAATGATCCCAGAGCATTCAGGTGCGAGGGTGGCTGCAATCACAGCTCTGAATTAGTGTCTGTTGCCGAAGAGCCTTTCTCTGTGCAGGGACAGGCAGAGCTGGGCCACTTGGTGTCACAAACCCTGGGTGCTCCCCATGGGCAGAGCCAGGGATTAGCCACCACCACCAAAGCCTGGGTGAGATGGTGCTGAGCAGATCATGGTGGAGAACAGGGTCTGATGCTCACACACAGCCCGCCCCAAATGCCTGAAACAAAGTGGATGGAGGGGCGGTGGGGAAGAGATTTTAGGGCAACACTGGTCCAAATCCACTTGGACGCGGAGCTGCCCGAGTCACCTGTGTGTCTCTCCCTGTCCTCTCTGTTTGGGATGAAGGGCACATTGCTCAGTGCTCACACAGCTCTGCCTTCTCAATACCACCATACTAAAGCAAACCTGTCTAAATGCATCAAACCCCACAGAAGCAGAAAGCAACCCCACCCCCAGCCCCTAACAACCCCTCCTCCAAAGCCAGCCCTCACCTCAGCAGCTCCGTTTCCAGCTGAACTAGCATCTGGTGGCTCACGATGGTCTGAAGTGCACTGTCAGTGCCTGCAGGAGGCTGCCAAGTCCCTGGGGACCAGGGACCACATCATCAAACCCGCTGTCAGCACTCCCGAGCTGGTTACAGCAACAT